GAGAAATTTCTTTATTTGCTAAGATAAAATTTTTATGTAACTATATTATAACCTCAAACTCTAATTAGCACTAGGAAAATGAGATTACAACAGCAAAATGGAAATCTGGTTGACATGGTAAAGAACCTTTCTGTACATAATCAACTTGGACTCCAGGCAATACTAAAACTCATAAATGTTTTTGGCTCCTACCCTGTCTTATTTTTATAATAGTTATGCATTCAGAAAACATATGCATTTACAAAAACATCTTGCAGTTATAATTTAGGTTTTCAGATGATACTACATGTGGTTTGGCTCAAAAAGAGATAAATATTCTGGTCTGAAAAGATAATCCACTAAAGCAGAAATCCATTGAAATGCTAACATTATTGCAACCAAATTTTTTACATTAGCACATTACCTAGGAAAGTTCTATGCCAGTATAAAATATCATATGCCTTTAATTTAAAAGTCTAAGTGTAATAGTCTAAATGAAATTCTTCTAATTTAAAATAAATCCTGAATATTCTAGATTCAAGGCACTACGTACTAATAGCTTTTCTTGTCTAATGATAATTTCTGTAATATTTTTCATTATTCCTGATTTTTCCCAATGCACAATTGTTCTTCTGTTCTAATCACTTCAAGTTTTACTTTATTTTTTTATGTATCTGGTAGTCTTATTGTACCATATTATAAAGCTACATGCCATATCACATAGCTAAGTATTTATTCCATAGAATACTATACCACAAGACATGAACACCGGTATATAAACTGCCAAAACCAGTATTTGTTTCCTATGGAATGTAATAATAATAATGATAATAATATAATAATAATTTGATAGGACTTACACTAAAATTTTATTTATTTTTTAATCCTTTTTTTCAAAAACAGTATATAAATATTCAATGTAAGAAAGCTGTATTTGTTGAGATAGATGCCTTGCATATTACATCTCTTAGAGTTAATGAAGTTACAATCATACCTGAAAATGTAACAGTTGTTAAAATTAATATTGGGCTGACACATTGTTTAATACATTTTTCTATGACTAGGAAGCCTGTAGTAAACTGATTTGCTAAGCAATATGTTATGTAAATTTTCCAACTTACATAGTTTTCTCAACTCTCTCTTTTAAATATACCACAGTAAATGCTCATTTTTTTTCAATTATCTTCTGAAATGATATCATTATTGAGCTATAACTAAGCAATTAAATTTGATTTGTAGCTACATTAATTAATTAACCTTAACATTTTCCAGAACAGTTAATATTAGACTTTGGAAGACCGAACAATATTTTATAATAATTAGTACTACTGAAATGGTATCATTAAAGAACAATAATTAGTAGCATTTCAAATTTGTAGATATCACCCACCAAACCACAAATCAAATTAACATATTCTTGATTTGTTTTTTATTAGCTGTTAACATTATACAGAATTTCTTGTTGACTTTCCTAATTGAATGATGTTGAAAAGTTAAGATTAGTTGGCATGGATTTAGGATTTTTCATTGACTGTGCTTTCACAAAAGCATATGATAGTTGTTAATTTTATCTATTTAGTGGGTTTTTGCATTATAATTTTAAAATTTTATTTTACTGAGAATCTGTTTTATCAGTGCTTTTTCTGAAATACAATTTTCATTTTAAAAAGTCAGGTTGAAGTAATTCAAAGAATTTATGTAAGAATATGAATAAATAGATACAGACGTCCTTATAAATTTAAATGATCTATTCTACCCTAAAAATAAGATAAATGCTTAAGAATCCTTAACACCTTTACCTACAAACTAAAATGTTGATGCATTTTTGACAAAAGCTATTAGATGCTGGGACACCAACATAATCTAACTTAGACTAACAGTTAATATTTTAGTTTTGTCCTACATTTACATGTAACTTAAAATGTTATTTTTGGATTTAATTTTTTGTTAGAAAAATGAATACATGTTGAAAAGAATTTTTTAAAAAAAAAAATGAGAATTTCTTTTGTTTTTGTAGTCAAAGAATCATAAAGCTGGACTGCCATTTAGTCTCCATCCCTGATCAGATTGGACTATGTCTACCTTGATTAATAGACTCTGAAAATTAGATAACCTTTAAATCCAAAGATTTTGTACAAATCTCTTTATAGCACCTTGAAAAGAATCACCAATCCTGACTTTAATGTACAGCATTAAATAATCAAACAAGAAGATTTTTCATAGTATTTAATAAAGCTCAGTTGTGTCAAGAGCCCTTATCTATGTATGATAGGTTTTGAAGAAAACTACCCCTAAGATGAAGATATCAAATCATTCTTGAAGATAAGTTGGAGATTGAGTCTACAGAGGCAACTTCATTGCAGAATGAAAAACTCCTTTGTGCTTGAATCTGACTATACGGACCTGGCATTGGACATGATCACCAAAGGAAAAATAATCCATTAAAAAAATGAGAGTAATGGTTTCTAAACTGCTAAGAAGCCAGCACAACACCACTTCTTTGATAATTTCTTTTTCTGGAAACATTGTGCTTACCTTAAAGCCACACAAACACATGAATGTAAACAATGGATCTGTTAAACATGAACAATGCCTGCCAATAATAAAACTCTATTTAAAGTCAAGACACATCTTTAAAATTAAAATTCCAGAAAGAAAAAAAAAATGTAGGGCTTCAACTTCATTTCAGTTATAAATAAAATTCTTTACCATTTAACAATTTTTACATTTCATCTTAGTGAATAAAAAAGCCAGATATTTTTATAGAACAAGAAACCATGATTGATCTAGACTGCCCTCATGAATATAATTACAGAGATGGCATTTATTTTATCAAGTTCTACCAATTCCACCAATTCTTACAAATATTCAAAAGAAATATATATATATATTATAAGAATATGAATAAATAGATACAGACGTCCTTATAAATTTAAATGATCTATTCTACCCTAAAAAAAAGATAAATGCTTAAGAATCCTTATATATATATATACATATATATATATGTAAAGATGGACTTTGGCAATATTCCTTCTTTAATCAATTTAATTCAATAGGGTGAGTGTTTTTAATGGGAGTTTGGCAAAATAAATTATTCCATTGAATCACTGTCAATATTTTTATAAAACCTTCTTCTTCTACATATGCCACCTAAAATAAGATTATTTATTTATGGTTTGATAAAAATCTTGGATAACAAAGTAGATAGGGAAAGCTTGACTCTCAAATAAATAAGCGGAGAGCCATTATTCTTGTGAGAAAGCAACATAAAATTTTCATGAGAAAACATCCTAAATCAAACAAATGAGGAAAACAAAGCACCACTTTAGTTATATTTAAGGGCTACCTTTGTGAGTACATTACACTTTCACATAGATTCCAAGTGCTATCTACTACGGGAAGGCTCAATAATTGAAATGATCAGAAAATATAATGCAAAATAATTCCTAGCAAAGGAATAAGGGTTAAGTGCACTAACCTGGGCAAGATCACATTCAATAACCTTTTTTTCTTGAGTATTCAGGACACTAATTTGCTACTATATCCTGTCTTTCAGGAAAATAAGTGTCCCAGTGAAACCCATCACAGTAAGTGGAACATTATCAACATAAGAACCAACATAAAGTAGATATTAATCAAACACTGTTGCCCACCTACACACATCAGAAGATGGATATTATAATCTCTGCTTTGCTGAACTTCATTGTGATACTGTACTAAGTAACTTCGCATCTCTTTAACATAATGGCAAAGAGATATAAGGACCCTGGAAAGCTTTTTCAAGAAAACCTGTTCCCTCTGATCATCCCCCATCTTTTTCTTCCCCTGCATATTCAAGAGGAGAAATTTTATACTTGGAGAGCATGTATCTTGCCATTTGAACATATTATATACCACTAGAACCATTTTTTAAAACTAATTATAGTTAATATATTTATTTATCTTTCTTGAAATTCCTAAATTGTAAATGCTTCAAAAACATAATCATTCACCATAATATCCTTTGTTACACTGTAGATAATACAGTGATAACACAGTTTCTGGTTCTTGTTCATCCCTCCTTCCTTCATTTATCTTAATCCTTTTCTCTTTACCTCCTTCCCTCCCTCATTCTTGGACACTGGTCCTTGAGTCAAATTCCCTGGCTGCTTCTAGTGAATTAAGTGCAAAGCCCTCTCTAAGGCAAGGAAGGAGGAATGTCTCTCTCGATGGCAGCTCTCAGTGGAAGAATCACTTCATAACACTCAGTATTACAACTGTAAAGTGCCAATAGGGAGAGTAAATTGTTCCCTACTTCTTTCTCTGACCTGTTCCCCATCAACTAGGATGCTTGGACAGAATCGTATTTCTCTCCTCATCACTATATGAGCAGGGTAAAAGGGTTTATGAAATCATACAAAGTAAAACCAGACTGGAAATAAATAATGGATATATCCTCTTCTCGTGATAGCATAACACTGAAGAAGCAGGGTTGGTCATTAAGTCATAATTAAACACTAGCATACAAGCAGAGACATTATATTGTCATAAAACCACAATGTCAGATGAAAACCACAGAAATATTTCCACTCAGTCCTAGTAGCCAGGAAATTCTTTTTAGAGGTGTTTTTTTTTTTGGGCTTTCCCAATTTGTACTCAGCAATGAAGATAGGGACCTTTTGTGATGTGTTAAATATTCCTTTTCTGTATATATACTGTGTGATCCAAAATAGAATACAGAATTTTCAACCCATCTTAAATGATCTGCTAACTTACGTCACAGGCTTCATTTTATCATGGCCTACAGTGTACTTAAATATGTAAAAAAGACAAAAGTAAAAAAAGATCTCAATGTCAAATTAAGATCTGTGTCTAGTACCAATTGATAGGTTTCACCCAAACGAGAACTGATACTTTGAAAGGTGTCTTCCATAATAACTATTCCGTTTCTTTTATGTCATTTGGTTTAAAAATATGCACACACTCTCGCAGTTGTGCACTCACTCAACCATACACACAAACATATAAAAAGAACTTACACAATTTCATCGTTCTGGAATTCCAGCTCTCCACAAGTGTCCTCAAAGTCCTCCCCTCCACCTCTGGCAGTCCCTTCAATGGTTTTATAGGGAACGATAACATTTCCTCGAGCTCCAGATGTTCTCAATACCTTCACCTCCATGATGCCAATGCTCTCACTCACGTGAGTCACAGGTTCCTCAAAAGTAAAGATGCCTGCGTGGTCATCATCAAAAATGGTTACAGTGGCCGTGGAGGGTGATCCGAGGCAAGCAAGAGTAGAGACGTGATTGGCTTCCAGGATGCCATCTTCTGAAGCTTCAGAGGATACTTTGACATTGCTGAGGTGCACAAGGAAATTTTCATCCTCCTCAAAGATGTCGTCATCGATGATGCCAACTCTGATTTCCTTCTGGGTCTCGCCAGGTTTAAAGACCACAGTTCCTTCAGTGAATTCATAATCAGACCCAGCGTTGGCCGTGCCGTCCTCTGTTCTGAAGTCAACGAACACAGTGTTGGTCAAATCCCCACCTCTGCGGATAATGGTCAGGGCCACAGTACCACAGTTCTCCAGACACTGATATGTCCCTTGCTCGAAGAAGACCTTGCTCACCGGGTCATTTTCGGCCACTTCCGTGTTGACCTCGTGCATGCTGACAGCCTTCCTTGCTTGGTCAGCTGCATGCCTCTTTAAAATGTTGCCAGCTCCGGTCATCAGGCGAGTAGCTTGGATGCGGTAAAATGCTCGACTTTTTTGCTGCTGACTTAGGACTTGGTAGTTGGCTAATTCTATTAACTGCTCTATTTCTTTCTCTGGATGTTTCTGCTTCAGTTCCTTCAGAATCCTCGCCATTTCTCGCCTAGCCTCTTCATCATCTTGGTCCCTCTCATCGACCTCCAGAACCAAAGCGCCATCTAAGAAATTGTCAACGTGAGAGTTGACTACTTTCCCATCCATTTCGATTTCCGTTTTGGAAGATGGCCGGTCCCCCTCGTGTTCAATGATCATTCCCCTCTGCTTGCCAGCCCGATACCGCTTGTAGACATACTTGTAAAACAGCAGCCTCCTATCTGCTACCCAGGCGAACACCACACAGATGGGAAAGAAGAAGAAAGTAAGCAAACCTTCCCAGACCTCCACAACACCAGGAGAGATGACAGACAGAATAATGTACAGCCAGGTATAGGCGAAGATGCTCCAGGCTGCCGTCACGAAGAACACGCGCAGATGCTTAATCTTCCTCGTCTCTCCATCAGGGACCACGTAAACACAAAGTGCAATGATGATGAACATGTTGAAGGCAGCACTTCCCACAATGGTGCTGGGCCCCAGGTCTCCAGCAGTGAAGTTATGGCCACACACTTCAATAACTGAAAGCAGAATCTCAGGAGCAGAAGATCCCAGGGCCATCAAGGTCAAGTTGGATACAGTCTCATTCCAGATCCTCACAGTTGTCTTGGTGGTCTCCCCATTGGGTTTCTTTATGGTTATTTCTTTTTCTTGGGATGTGATGACTTCAATAGAGGACATGAACCGGTCGGCAATGATAGAGACTCCCAGAAACATGTAGACCATGGCCACGAAATACACAGTAGCTCTAGCAATCTTGTCTCCGAAGGAAGGGTCTTGGGGCTCCCAAATAGGCAAAATCACCCCTTTCTTGCAATAATATGAGCCGGTACATTCAGCGGTACTGTTTCCTCCTCCTTCCATTTCAGTCTCAGCAGTTATATGGTCCACGTGGGAAAATAAGAAAGCCATCAGCGCTAACAGATGAAATCCCATTGAAAACATGGGTGAGAGGCTTAACCGAGGCATGTTGTACAAGGAGACGTCCAACTGTCCTGACCTGTTGGTAAAAAGAAGATGGGGGCAGGGAGGGTAGAAAAAAAATCACATTATTAGATCCAAATCCAAAGCATGATTAATACCTTTAACAAAAATTTGTGTATGTTTGACCATCACAACATCTCTGGTGAATCATCACTAACCTGACTCCATCAGTGATTAAGCAATCCTTTGTGAAATTTACAATTTGGTCTCTCTGTTTGTGAATTTTCTACATGTAATTCCATTCACTGAGCAAGACTCACAACTGACTTCCTGGAAATGAAAAGTTCAATTTTAAGCCTGGCCTAATTAAGCACACATTTATGCATACTAATGGGCAACAAGAAAGATAAACAAAACTTTTGAAGCATTAAACAATCGCCTCCTTGTTGCTAAAGCAGATTTTTTCTTTTAAATTTTGGTTAGTTCATTATCTTCAAGGACATTTTTCATTGAGAAAATCACTTTATTAAGATTTGTGCATTGATTGCAGAATCACATCAGTTACACATCCATTGATTTACATATTGCCATACTAGTGTCTGTTGTATTCTGCTGCCTTTCCTATCCTCTACTATCCCCCCTCCCCTCCCCTCCCCTCCCCTCCCCTCCCCTCTTCTCTCTCTGCTCCCTCTACTGACATTCGTTTGTCCCCCTTATATTATTTTTCCCCTTCCCCTCACTTCCTCTTGTATGTACTTTTGTATAACTCTGAGGGTCTCCTTCCATTTCCATGCATTTTCCCTTCTCTCTCCCTTTCCCTCCCACCTCTCATCCCTGTTTAATGTTAATCTTCTTCTCATGCTCTTCGACCCTACTCTGTTCTTAGTTACTCTCCTTATATCAAAGAAGACATTTAGCATTTGTTTTTTAGGGATTGGCTAGCATATGGGGTAAAAATGGGAGCTCATAACCCATTTGAATCAAATTGTGAAATATGATATATCAAGAACTATGTAATGTTTTGAACAGCCAACAATAAAAAATTAAAAAAAAAAAAAGATTTGTGCATTGAAATTCAGACTCGGAAAAACAACTACCAAAACAAGGCGTGGTGATGATCTTAAATTTGGAAGTACACCTTACACTGTATTTCAAGAAATCACACCCTACTGCTCTAAACTGACTTGGAAACAGAGAAATCTCTAGGTCTGCCTGCAATCAAAGCTCAATGGTATTTATTCTCAAGAGGAAAAAAAATTCCACTGTAATGCAATATTTCCACACATTAAGTACAGGTTTTAAAAGCATGTTTTAATGAGAGCACATTTCCTCCTAATTTTCAGCAACCAAGGTCTCCTGATATATTAGCAACTGGGAATCTAGTACTTTGAGAACAGCCCTTCATATTTGTATACATAGCCTGCTTTACAATCTGCAGGCTGTCCCCAACAGAGAGGAGAGATAACCAGGTCCAGGCCTGGTTGTGTGTAAGACCCTGGCAGGCTGTGAAATCGGCATTACCAGCCATAAAATGTTCCTTCTCAGTGTCAATGTCATACTTTCCATGGTCATTCCAAAACACACATTAGTTCTATAGTGGGCTCAAGTGACTAAAATATGCAGGAGCAATGATTCCATCTAAATTAGCTTATTTGGCATAGCAACAGTAACCACAAAGTATATATATGATGAAGGGCTGTAGGCAATTAGAGATATGGCAACAGAGTCCTACTGAGGAGCACAGAGAATGGCAAGCAAAGTAGTGGACAGAGCGACCACAGCCCTAAATTCAACCACCAGATCATGCAAAACTCTGTTCTGACCTCACATCACCTCTGCTTCTAGGATCTGGGGCATCAGGACTGGGGTAAAAGGGGTAGGGAATGGATACTGAAATACAGGAAGATCCGGAAGGCTTTGAAGGAGGCCAGTTATGACATCCATAGCACACGGATAGGAAATTAGTCCTGAGTCAGAACATAGCCCTGTGGCCTAGAAAACGTTAAAAGAGGGCTGGGTGAGAGGCTCTCAGCTCCACGCTGGCTGAGAGCCAGCCACGTTTGCCTATGTTTGCTGCTGATGGCTTGCACTGAAAACCACTCCCAGGTCCCAGGAGAATCCCTGTGGCCAGCACATTCTGGAAGACCCTTGGAGATCCCACCATGGCCTCAAGCCCTTTTTAGGTCATCTCTATTGGGAGATAGGCTTCTTTCATATTTCTCCCATATTGAAGAAGACCAGGAGAGGGTAAAAGGCTGACAAATGAAAGAAACACATTTACAAAAGCATTGCAAGAGTTCATGGTCAACGTGTGTCTGTTTGTTTAGCCTTGCAGGGATTGGGTGGTTTGTGGGCTCCCTGCTTAAAACAAGGTAACATTCAATTTGCCTGCAAGAAAAATAGGAGATCTTGTTCTAAGTCCCTATGCATCAATTTTTTCCACAATTGTTTATATGTGCTTAATATGAATTTTAGAATGACTCATTAGGCTCTCTTCTAGACCTAAGAATTCACCAGTGAATAAAACAAAGTCTCTGTCTTCTAAGGCATAAATGAAATATCAGGTGGTAAAAAGTGGTACAATGGGGGAAGGGCAGAATCAATCTAAGAAGGACAGTGTGTGTGTGTGTGTGTGTGTGTGTGTGTGTGTGTGTGTGTGTGTTCATGCACACATAAGTTAGCATGATTTTACAGTTAAGGAAGGCGTCTCTGATAAGAAAACATTTGAGCAAAGTCCTGAAGGAAGCAAATGATCAAACCTTGTGGATATTGAAGGAAGAGTATTATGACAAAGTACAAAGGTCCTGATGGTAATGGTGCAGAGAAACCAGTGTGGAGGAAGGGCCATGCAGGAGTGGGAATGCAAAGGGAACAGATCAGGGGGTCACTGAGGCCACTGTAAGGTATTGGCTTTGAAGAGGAGAGAGACAGGAATCCCAGGGGGTTCTGACCAGAGACTAATATCTGGTTTTCCTTTTAGAACAGGCTCTCTCCTGGTTTAGTAGAGAGATTGTAGGGGATGGGAGGAAACAAGGAGACCAGCTCCTGCCTACTATATTAAGATTTGATTTCTAAATGATCCCAATGCCTGGCAAGTATTCAAAAATGAAAGAGCAGACAGCTAGCATTTAAAATGGAGAAGAAACATTTGTAGTTATCCTTTTAGTAGACTGGCAACTTAAAATGTCTTGGAGACCGATAAGGATCAGAAAGGTTAAATATTTGTAATAAATAACAGTACTGAAGAGAGAGAGTAAACACTGAAGAAAGATTCAAACCTGTGTCTGTCTCCAAGCCTGATATAATTAACCACTCCTTCAAATCACTGCCAAATTCATCATTCTATTTTTCACATTTCAGCCAAATTGAACTTGCTAAGGAACAGATCTTACACTATGATTCTGCTTAAAACTCTTTGTAGGCTGTCTTTTGCCTCATGTCCAGTGGTAAAACCCCTCAATAGTCTGCTCAAGACCCTGTATGATCTAACCTCTGTGCTCCTGAATGCAGAAATTCTTTTAATTCCCTAAATAAGGCACTTTCTTACTTGGAGGCCTTTGCAGACTGTGTTCTTTCCTCAAAATATTTTCCTTCTTAGAATCAAGGTTCAAAAAAAGTATAACAAATCACAATTTCTTGAGAGACTAATATTGAATTCCTTTCTTAAAACTGTTACAGACATCGTGCTAAATTATTTACATGTATCAATTATATCTAATATTTCTAATAACAAGCACTTTTGTGTCACACAACTTTTAGTGTTTCTATTTCCATTTTGGTCTTTGCAAACAGCACCCCCTGGAGTTGTGCAGAGGGTAGTGCACTAACAATAGCCCTATCCAGTAGACACTCATTTTCAAAGTGGGATAACTGAGGAGTAGACTAGTTAAGAACTTGTTCAAAATCATACAGAGAGCAAACTAAGATTCACATCCTGGTCTGCTTCCATTAACTGTTCCATTAGGTCATCCCTGATAGTTGGTAAAGTAATGCTGGACAATTGTTGGATTTGGGCTTGAACTAACCCATTGAAAGCCTCTTGGCTTCTATGCAGGTTAGGAGAGCCCAGTTAGCAATAGTCTCGTGGAAGGTTTCCAACAGCCTGGTTTTTATCTTATGGATTAGAGACTCAAGCAGACAAGCATCAATGACTGTGGTGTATAGCATGAGGGCTGGCATGTTCCTAGAGACAGCTGCCCTATGCTCCCTGCCCTTTAGCAATTGCCTGGCAACCTTTTCCTGCATGCACAGTCAGGGCTCTCTCTTAGGTCAGCCAAGAAAAAGTCCTGCCCTCCATCTCTGCCCTAGCCCACATCTCACAATATGTTTTTAGCCAAATGAGGACCAGATGTGTAAAAATGGATGGATTGGTGAAAATCCGTCGTCATTATTGGGGAAAAAGGAGAGGGGCTGCTGAGGTTACCAAAAATCATCACATTTATATTAAAAAAGTGACAGCATTATAATTTGTGAAACCAGTGGACAAAAAACACTGATGTAAGTTATTGGCAATAAAGCAACCGGGAAGAACTCTCTGGACTTTGGTTGCTTTCTTTATTTAATGAATACCAAAATCCAAATGCTTGTGAGGATGTGGGAGAAGTGTTATCTAAAGGCTTTTTTCCTCTATTTTCTTTCTTCCATTATAAGAGTCCAGAAGTTCTACTTAACCCTCCCAACTCTTCTCCTGAGGTGTGTGTGTGTGTGTGTGTGTGTGTGTGTATATATATATAAATTTTCCATGAAAATTAAGCAGGAAGATAAGAACAGAGGCCACAGGTATGTTGGTTTGCTGCCTGGCTTTCTTACATTTTGCCTTGATCTACTGGAGGCTGGCAGCTGATTTTTTTTGGTGGATTCAGATCAACTCTATGTCTATATCAAGGGATCACTTAGGAATACCCACTTCATCATCAAAATGAGTCTTCAGCCCAGTAAGTATCAAGAATACCCGAATTATCTTCTACTCACTATTTATTTTAAAACAAAACAACTTTATCACCTACAAATTACAAACTTTAATGACACTGACTAAAAAGATGGTAAAGAGATACCTGGCTGCCAGTAATCCAGCCACCTGTGCCGAAGGGAGAAGTCAGAGTTACAAGGAGGAGAAACACATGCCTACAAGATTAGGTGTTTATCAAACTGCTTTGTAAAGCATAAGGAAGAACCTCAGTTGCAGAGGGGCCCAAAGAGGAGTGAGGCAGCAGAGTGCCTACTCCCCACAGGAAACTGGGGTTAGTTTTAACTATCAAGAAGTACCTGACTCAGAGGAAAGGAATTTGCTGGTGTCCCCACCAGCCCTCACACTGGATGGCCTAATCGCA